TGGTGTCAAAAGCAGCACTGAGATCTAAGAGGACAAGTATGGAGACAAGTCCTTTGTCTGAGGCTAGGAGAAGATCATTGGTGACCACCACCAATGCGGTTTCTGTATACTGCATCGAAGTAAACAATGAACACTGCATATGACTCCAATGGCAGTAGAAGACCGTACAATATAACTGCTTTGCAACAGCTTTTTCAAGGATTTTGGAAATAAATGGGAGATTGGATATTGGTCTATAATTAGCTAGGACACCTGGGTCAAGAGTAGGCTTTTTGAGTAGAGGTTTAATTACTGCAACTTTAAAAGCCTGTGGAATACGATACCTCCTCTGATTTCAAAAGGCACAGGATACACTCCGCCAGAACAGGTATACCTGTGGATTTCTGTGTGTGCGCGGTGTATGTATCTGATGTGGGACAGTGGGTGTGTTTCAGTGCCAGCAGCCAGTGCTGGCTTAACAGTTGGTTAACATTTCTTGGAAGACCTGCTGCAGCTGAAGGGGAGGGAGAGAAGGAGAGTGAGTGTGGTCAGAGGCCAGGTTGGCATCAGCTCAGCAGTGGAAACTCACTCCTGGGCTCTGGCTTAACCATGAGTAAATGCGTTGTAAAGAATATTCTCTGTCACACCTACAGTGCAGCTTATGATTAAACATGCTTGTTAAATTTTTCAGTTTATTACAAGTGTTTTTCCTCCATATTTTTTATTTCAATCGTGTGTGCATGTGGATCAAGAGATGACTTTCAACATCAACAAATTAAAGAAGCTGCCCCAGAGTTTCTTTTTTTTGTAGTTTTGATTGAATCTGCTGAATTCAGTATTTGTATGGGTTTGTTTTTCCAGTCAATGCAAAAAAAAAAAACATCTGGATTTGCTTGAGCAGGCTATGACATAAGCAACAGCAGCACAGAGGAAAGAAACGCCACCTGTTATCTGTTAACAAATTAACTTTATTTGGTACATACAGTATGTGATGTAATTGTGTATGATTTTGTGGTTTAACATTAATGTGTATGGCACTACAGCCTCTGTAAACCAGGCATCAGCTTGGTGACAACACTCATTTGAATGAGGTCAAACACATGCAGTAAACCTACGTCATGTAAAGACCCTGCAGAAACTAGTCAGATTATGTAAAAGATAGCGCTAATTGATTACTCCATGCTTGACTGTTCTCAGCTGTTGTGTTTTAACGCAACACATTGAGAGACCACAGATACTCGAAACCCTTTTACACACATTAGTTAACTAAGCAATTCTGTAGTAAATCCTAAGAGTTTTCTTAAAAAATGTGACTAAGATTGTGGTAGTAAAACAGCTGGTGTGAATCATGTATACATGTAGGTAACAACTGCAGTCGTCAAAGATGTAATGGTTATGTTTGTGCTGTTTAAGGAGTGTATACATGTAGGTAACAACTGCAGTCATCAAAGATGTAATGATTGTGCTGTTTAAGGAACAAAAACCGTTTGGGTCACAACTGATTAACATTTTACCTTTGTTAGTACACCAGTAATCACTGTGAATTATGGAAATTATCAGCACTGCAAATTGCTTGTGTGGGACTACCCATACAATAGCTGATAAGGACTGTTGTCCCTAATAATAACATAATTCAGATGATCATAATCTGATATTTGGAGCTAAATTAAACATCTGAGTCTTATGAGATCACTGATATCAGTGAATAGGATTACTTCACTGATCACACTTTTAATCAGGTAATTTGTAATTTATGACCGGTCCCATGTGAAAGTAAACTTTAAACCTCGATAAGACCTGTGTGTTTGATTCAGTCAAACATTTTTACATCCTCTGCAACATATGTGATGCACTGAGATGGTATTTTAGAAGTTGATCAATGGTGAATGAAAGAATTTTGTAGGACCTTCATATGACTCTACTTCTTCATCTTGATATGCCCTCTGGTCAGGTGATGCAAATAGGAAACACACTGTAATATGTCTGTGTATGGCTGTGAGTGTGTGCACATGCATTTGATAAAAATGTATCCCATGTACGCTTACATGCAAACTATAACTGGTTTTAAATGCTCATAAACCTTTTTTTTGATTGTTGCATTTCTTTGTAATGAAATTTGTCTGTGGTGTTTGGTGCCACAGAACAGCTTTTCTTGCTTGGAATAGTTGCTGAACTGAACTTTTTTACCTAGCCAGTGAGATCATTTTGTCTTTTTTTGCCACATTACATGTGCAGACATGATTATGATCAAAGACTCCTCATAAATCTCTAAAACTATTTATCAGTTTCAGTCACGAAACTTTTTTAGTTGCAATAGTGAGTCATTTTGTTCTTTTAACAACAGTTTAAGTTAATTGTCCATCATCCAATATGTTTCTCTAGCTGTCTTTTTTGTCTTTTTCTTGTGTGTAACATTACATACATTTCTACTGAGCAGTTTTGGGATTGGTTTTAACTATGTCCTCTCCTCTTGTCCTAACAGCATGTCCACCTGGCACCTATAAACCAGAGGGAACACCTGGAGGTCTGAGCACCTGCCTGTCATGCCCAGACCTTCAGCACACCTCTCAGCCTGGCAGCACGTCCCTGAGTGACTGCGTCTGCAAGCCGGGCTATCAGCCAACAGGCATGAACTGCCAGGGTAAGCGAGGAAGTGATATGTTACATTTGATTTGAGCCGATGGTTTCACCTACTGTAGTAGTGGCTTGTATTTGCATTTGCAGAAATCATATGTGGCACTGTCTGCAGTCATTTGACAGAATAGTGATTCAGCCTTTGTCCAGTTTAATGAAAAGATGGTGTTTTGTCCAAACACAGCAAGAAATTGTCTGGGTTAAATTCTCGCTAATGCTGACGGGGGGATTTTTCGTGTGTCAGTTGCACTTTCTCCTGCTTTGGTTTCATGCATATTAGATTAATACATCTGTTGTTAGGCTGTGGCATCAGTGTTGGTCCCTGGACTTGACACTGTGGCTTCCACCACATGTAAAGAGTTGGGATGGGGCTAATGCAGAGGACAAATATCCTCTCTGGAACCAATAAAATTTAATTTTCCTTAGTCACAAATAATGACCTTGGTCAGTAGAGACAAAACAGTAGATTTACAAATGGAGAATCTGTTTCACAGTAGCCTATAAAGATTTCCTCTAGTAATATGTTAGGAAATTTACTTTTCAATGTACAATTTAGTACCATATTTCACTCTGTTAATAAAGACCAGTAACATGCAACTGGAAACAGTGTGACTTTAGGGCCTCGTGTGATTGTTATGATGGAGAAAATTATTTAGGTTTTAACATGAGTGAGTTTGCTCTACAAAAGAGGAAATATGGGAGAATGTGTGTGATGACTAAGGGAAGTGAAAATCAGAGGCTGACGAGTAAACCATGAGGGCTGGTAAATGTAGTGATATAGTGATGAACCAACTGGAACACTAACTGTATTCCACTGAGTTATAAAGCATCCTGTATCACGACTCTGCTTCCAGTCTTTTCAGCATGACTCTCCCATTTCTTGAAGAACAAGCCAGTGATTTCAACACAGCAGTTCACTGGAAAACAGTGATGGCCATTAATCACCAGTTCACACACTGTGCTTTGAGTTCTCTTCCTCCCTCTGTGCACATTGAGGAGATGATGTTTGACAGCCAGTAATTTTATGCTTTCATGCTTTCTTATTCTTTTGTCAAGGACCTTAGGTTTCTGAGCTGTCGCACAGCCACTAGTATCAAATTATCTCTTCTTCTCTCTTCTGTTTCCTTTTCTTCCAGTCATATACTGTCCAGCACTGTCTCCTCCAGAAAATGGCTTTTTCGTCCAAAATGTATGTAACAACCACTTTGATGCGGCCTGTGGTGTGCGATGCCAGCCAGGGTTTGACCTCCAGGGAACCAGCATCAGACTGTGCCAGGCTGATGGCACCTGGTCAGGGATGCCTGCCAGCTGCAGAGGTGAGAAGCCAGCTGACTTCATACATGACAGAAAAATGAACATTTTCACAGGTGGAGCTGTGCTTGGATTTCTGGTATCAACTTAGGCTAGTGTTCTCTCTGTACAACTAATTAAACTCAAAGATATTTTCCAAATTGCTGCCAATTAATTTTCTGACAGTTGATTAATCAGCTAACTTGATTTAATATATGTAATATACCGTCTCTGGATAGTTGACCTTGCATCTTGCACTAGCAGAAATCTCATTGGCTTCTGATGATTGCAGAGAATCTGTCTTTTCTAGCTTGTTGATCATTATATCAGTCAGGCTTCTTGTTTACTCTGTTGCTTGAGGAATTTAATGGTGTGTTGCTGGTCATAGTGAATACAATATAAATGCAAGGTCACCCAATGCGCCTTTGTGCTCCAGCTCCACTTATAGACAGATTTCTCCAAAATATGTAAAATATTAAGTGACTTGCTTTATGTAATTGCAGAATTGCAAACTTTGTATTATCTTGGACAATTCGGTAAGCTGCAGTACAGCACTCCTGGTTATATAATGATAACACAGAAACACACAAAGCTGTCTGATTAATCCCAGCAGATTCCTCCACTCCACATGTCTCATATTATTCTTCATTACACTATGCGCCCTTCATCAATGCATTCAATCTGCTGCCACTGCTGTGATGTCTGCAGTCCTTTGTAAACATTTATATACCACTAAATAAAGTAGCACAAAATCAGCTCACTGAGATGAAGCATAGGAGCTGATCTGTTGATTTGCTGCAAATGTCCAACAAGCTAAAGAGTCAGAATGGTCCGCGTTTGCCGGCATGTTAAAATGTCTTGCTGTGTATTCAGATTATATGTGTTTAGACTGAAGGAGGAATTGGTATTTACTGGGAGACTACTGCTTTCCTCCATACCAGATGTTGAGAGGAAGAAAGGTAGAAAGGATTCACTTAACGAGAGAGAGAGATTCCAAGAGTGTGAGGGAGTTCAAGAGAGCAGAGAGAAAAGAAACAAAGGAAAAGGGAGTCAGAGAGGTCACGAGATTAATGAGGAAAATGCCAGTTTTAGCAGAAACATAGCAGACGTGACTCAGAAGTACCAAGACACTGAATATTCAAGGGTGTGTGTTGAAGATTTATAGTATGTGGCTTTGAGTATATACTATAATTTCTGAGTGTGTGTGCATACGTCTGTTAGTATGTGTTACACTATGTCTAGTCTTTGCCGCATACTGTAGGACCTCCCAGCTAGTTGAGCCCAGAGGGAGGGGTATCCTCTGAACTGCCTGTCTGCCTATGGGTGATGACAAGAAATAAGACACTACACACCCTTTTCTGGACCTCAGCATAAGTCAAACCAGACAGATGCAGGATTTTTTTCCCTTTATTTCATAGGGACTTTCACACTTTGGTTTTAAATGACAGGCCAGTTATAGTTAAAGATAATACTACTCTAAATTCCTGGTGTTGATTTACTGCTTTCACAGCCTCTCAAGATTTCTAAAGAATACCTGTGTGTTTCAGTTATTCCTCAAACCTGGATGAAAAAAAATTTGTAAATGATAAATTAGAATTTATTATGGTTAACTTGGAGAAGCACACAGGTGGGGTTCGCCAAGTAACATTTAAGCCATTTTCACACACGAACTCCACAGAATCAGGTCCAGACATCGTCCAGAGTTGCCCTTTTCACACATGTAGCACACTACAGGAGATAGTCTGGGTAAAGCACGCAGGAGGTGGGGCATGACACAGTGACATAGCTGGTTTTAATTTGGTCATAAACAACTGAGTCTGTTGCTGTACCTTCAATTTGTCCGACAATCCTAATCTTAATGTCGGAAGTTTGCGAGTCTTGTCGTGTCTCCAGTTAGATATTTACACTGGCTACTTTATTTTAAATTACCGTTTTTCTTCACCATCACATTTATATTCTTCCAGTTTTGCATCAGTCACATAATAGAAAGTGTCATCAGTACACCCACTACTACTGAATACTTTTGATTATATGCTGCTGTTTTTTCATCAAATTAAAAACGCAAATATAAACAGGTGAGGAAAGAAACAATAACAACATAAAACATAGAGCTTTCAAGACATATGAGCATTATTTTTTGACCCCACAGTACGCTCCTGCCCGCCCCTCTCTCGACCCCAGCACGGCTTCCTGAAATGTAGCGATGGTGGCGCCTCATACAAGGCAGAGTGTCAGGTGGGTTGTGAGCGAGGCTACAGGCTAGAAGGAGACTCCAGGCTCACCTGCCAGGCCAACTCCCAGTGGAGTGGACCCCAACCTCGGTGTGTGGGTAAGCCTCCATCACCCTGTGTTTTACATCTGGAAAAACTGAAAAATGGAATGATGTGTTATTTCCTTAAGTCTTCCACTTTTTCCACCATCTGCTAAAGTAAAAGAAACACTGAAAGATTTAGCTTCTTCCTTTGTTGAGCCATGTTGAACATTTTTGTGTTCTCAGTGATGTTTTTGATCTAATATTTGAGCTACTTTGTAAAGACAAAATATGTCTCCAAAACAGAAGGGGCCCAATGATTCATTGGAAGAATAAAAGAAAACATTGAAAAAGCACCACAGACTGTTGTGTGACTCCAATTAGAAATGTGAAGGGAGGGAAAAGGTTAATTGAGGTATAGCTGTGGTAGAATTTGTGTTCTAAAGGGGAGACATCTTTTGTTATCAGTCATTTTGCAATAAGATGATGTTTCCTTTTTAAAATACACCTATCAGCCATAAGCAGGAAAAAGTGGACAAACATAAGGATCTGAGGCCAAATTGTGATGGTGGGACGACCGAGTCAGGTCTTATTGGGTGTTCTTTGTCTGCAGGGGTTAGTACCTGCCAACAGTGGTCTAAGGAAGGTTGAAAATGAGAAACTGTACATTGGTTTCTATGAAGAGAAACATTCAGTGGCTATAGTGGTGATATCACATCTAGAGTGGGGAGACTGTTGAATGTGTCGAAAAAATGATCTCTGACTTGTCCTCACAACCACAGTTTTTACTCCTTTTAGTTTTTCACTGGATGGTACACAAATCTGTGCTCTTCCTGACAGTAAAACTATGGAAGCAAACAGATTTGCTTATTGGATCCTGAATAAACAAAGCTAATTTATCAAATGACAGACTGTAAAATAACACATGATCTTGATATTTCTATGTAAAAACGTGGTTGTACACACAAATGTAAACATGCATGAGAACATACACTCACACGTGCACGGCGGTTAAACATATGGTGTGTTTGCACAGAGCCGCACTACATCATCCTGAGGAAGACACATCTGCTTTCTCATAGCTGAACTACAGTCACCGCATACTGTATACACATGCACACAAAATTACCCACACACTTCAAAACTGATAGTTAAGTTAAAATAGTTGGGCACACTCATGACCGCCACAGAGAGCACCCCAGTTAGGCACACCAACACACAAAACAGGGACAGTGTGAGAATGTTCAGCCACAAACCTCCAGCTGACTCTGACTCGCATCCAACCACCCCCCTAGCTGCTCTATTTAAAATGTCTGACTGATCTGCTTCTGGAGGTCTCTCTCAGTTTAGTGATAACTACCATCTCTTACTTCTGGTGCTCTGACTGAGTTACATTGGGGTTTTCTGTTTGTTTGTTTGTTTGACCATTTTAACGTTTTTTTCCTCATACAGTCGTCACTTCTTTAACACGGGGAGCTGCGGGCTGCTGTTGCAGCTGAGTGGTTTATTTTAGTGTTTGTTTGCACAGTGGTGGAACAGGATAGCCTCAGCTGCCCTGAGAGGATGCAGAGAGAATTTTATATCTGATTGAAATATACCTCTTAGTAAGTTTTCCCTTTGTAGCTCTTATAATGAAAACCCTGCTATTTTCCAGTGCCTTTCTGTGCTATACTGTTTTATCTATTGCATTCAAGGCAACTTACAAGTTATTACTGCACTGTAAATGCTAGATAATCATGTTTCAGATCTTTTACTTTATTTTCCTTTTATGTATTTTATATGATTATGGTTTTTCTTTGCCGCCGTGTATGAAGTGTGCTCTGTAAATAAAGGTGCATTGCCTTATATAGCTAAAGCCAAAGAAACAGGAGTTAGAGAGAGAATGGGAGTGATTTATCCATCATCAAGTAAAAGCTGCACTAGTCTGTATCCAAAATGCATAGTGAAAGAGTCCTGTGGTCAGTGCTTTCTTAGGTTGAGCTCTGACCAAATGTTTGTTGTTTTTCAGCCAGTTTCTGACACACATGCCCTGAAAGCAGCTTTACTATTGGTATTTATAATGAAGCCTGCTCAAAGTTAGATTTGTTCACATTTGGGTAAAAACAGGAAACACGGTCATGATCTTGGACAAGGTTTTTTTTGCCTGTTCTGCCCTTTTCTGCTCAGACTGACCTTACTGGATTTTCCTCTGTAGCAAGCCTGATCTCGTTAATGGATAATAAATGCTAGCTCAGCCCATTGCAGTACTGGTAGTACCTTGTTCAAGGGATGTGGGATCCTGTCAAGAGCAGAGTTTTGATTTACAGATATTTTTCAAGGAACAAGCCCACTTTGACAGATATAAAATTTATCTCTTAGTCTCTCACTCTGTCTCCCCAGAGGTGCGTTGTCCCCCCATCGTGGCCCCGAAGAACATCTTGCTATCGCCCCCTGCCTGTGGGAAGAGGGGACTGTCGGCAGGCTCCGCTTGCCTGCTCACCTGTCGTCAAGGTTACCGTCTCCAAGGAAACAGGAGGGCAGTGTGCCTGGGCTCAGGGAACTGGACAGCTAATGTCCATAAAGCCGTCTGTACAGGTAACGCACTGTGTGTGTGAAGAGGAAATGGGTCTTTTCACTTCTTTAGTACAGAGGTCAGAGGTCGGGGTTGGCTGTAGAGGCTGTAACAAGGATGTATGTAGAGGTCAAGACACTCGTAGGTGGTGAAGATGGAGTTTAGGTTATGTTTTTATTCTTCAATTAGTTTTGTAATTGAGTTTGGGTAGGTTATATTTAAAGAAATAGTTTAGCATTTTGTGAACTGTATTTAAATGCTCTCTTGCCATGAGCAATCTCATGTCATTGCACTAGAACATAGAGGTGATTAGCTTAATATAAAGACTAGAAGCCGGAATGAACAGCAAGCTGGTATCTCTCCAGAAATCAAATATACACATACATCACCTGTAAAGTAATTAACATGTTATATCTTGTTTGTTTACTATTCACACAAACAAATATGAAAACAACAAGACGTGGTGCATGGTGATATTGATCTTTCTAGCAACTCTAGCATTTGAGCATATTTTCCAACATGTCAAACTTTTTTTTTAATCTGTATGAATGTCCTTACTATGCTTGAATTATAAAAATGTATAAATGTAATATCTTTACTGTCCTTTTTGCCTGTATTTGCTCTGTCTGGCAGTTTTGCACCATGTAGTTATTTGTAAGTTCAATCTGGTTGTTTGGAAGAATCACTTATGTTTACACTGCTAAACTGAATGATGTTTGTACTGTGGCAGTTTATTTGCAAAGTAGAAAAAGAAGAATTGTTCAAAGATGCAGAATACATGAAGAAAGAGAAATATGTAAAAAGAAACCAGCAGGAAACATGGAGGTAGATTTTTTTTTTTTTTCCAGTCTCCTTCCCCCTTCTCTGCATTTTTTCCGCTTTGTGAATGGTGCTAACCCTGTGTTGAAGCAAGCCTCGGTTAACTAACTCAAACCATATAATTTCCTAGCTCTCACTCTGACTGGGCTCTGGAGGTCATTATAATCGACTGAAGCCTTCCTGATGCCTTGCAGGTGAAACAGGTGGTGGAGAGCAGCTGTGCTTGCCTCCCTTTAAATGTCTTCAGTTCCCTCATTACCTTACAGAGAAAGTTAATGATGGAACTGTCTCTGTTAAGGGGAGGAGGATGGAGGAAGGGAGGATGAGTCATCTGTTGGGGTTTTGTAATGGTATGGCAGGAGAAGATGGTTTTTCTGACCCTCTCAGGCACAAATGTGCTGAAGGAAGCAGGAGAGGGAAGGAACAACAGATATTAAAGTAAAGGTCTAGATGAGATAGAGAGAATAAAGAGGCAAGACTGCAATATGTGCAGCACATTATAATGAGATCAAGAAGGAGAAAGCTGTTACAAAGTTGAAAGTGCTCTTTGTAAACATCTGGCTTTTATTTCTTTTTGCCTCTCACTTTGTGTTGATGACACCCAAAGTGAAATATTCCTCCCTTGTTATGAAGATGAATGGAGCCAGTTGGAGCTAAGTGTGTTAGTGTTTAGCAGAGATGGATGCCTAAGTGGATGGGTCATCAGGTCCAGATGGGAGCGGCTCTCTTACACAACATAACAGGCATGACCACCGTCGATCGATGAGAGATCCAGCTTTTGGAGGCTTTGCTCATTTATTGCAAACTTCAGCTAAGCTGAACTGAACTGTGTTGGCTTCACATTATTACAGCATGCTATATGGAGAATGAGACAAAGGAAGAAGCAGTTTCATCCAAGGGTCATGGTGGCTGGTGAGTTTCCACCAGCCAAACGTGGTCAATAATGTAACATTTAATACCATGCTGGATATTGAGATGGCTGCTACCCGTGATTGAACATTTCCTGCTGGAACAAACAGTGGTTCTGTGCATGCTCAAGGATAGTGAGGACAGTCATTTAGCTTTTCTGCTTGTCTGAGACCTTGCAGACACAACTACATTTCTCAGATCTCTGTGTTACTGCTAGTCAGATTGTTGTTTACTGTACCTGACAGTAAATAATTTAGATTAACATTTGGCATGGGATCAACCACTTCTTTTTTGTAGTTCTCCCATTTATGTGCCTCTCTGACTCTCTAATTAGCTTTGAATCTGGATCTGCTGTGCATTCTGTTTTTTCGGGACAACAAGGGATGTTAGAAACTGAAGAAATATTTGATGTGAATAAATGCATTCAAGAGTTGAATTCTGTTGCAAAAACTCAGAACAGTAATCCACATGTAGTGTTTTGGTGAAAGCAACAACTATAGTCTTACAAAAGCCAGTAACTAATAAATTGTGCAGGCTAAAATTTTATGCAGGTAGTCAGAATAACTTTTACTCAGGCTCTCAGGTCAAGCTTTGTTATTAATCTTTCTGAAGTCATATGAATAAACACAATAAATAAATAATTATTCTGGTAACTCTTGACAGCTTTTTCCCACACTAAAGAGAGTAAGGCAAATCTTAATGCACACAAAAGCTTTTGCTTAGGGCTACTGATAAGTTGGCTGCTAGCAAGATCAACTCATGTGCAAACATCACCAAAACAGCTACTTAACAGTGTTTATCTAGGTTTGGTGGGATTGAGCTCCAGATGTAGATCATAAAGGAAGAAAAAAACTGCTACTTTACCCCCATTTGTCACTTGGATTTACACACTGGATTAATTTATCTGAACATGAACATCTCCCCCAGGACACTGGACTTACACTTATGATTCAAATTTATGATTCAAGACGTCTGGACATTTCTATATTACTGATAATTTATTCAAGACTGAGCTGGAGTTTCCATGAACCCAAATGCTTTGACAGCGACAAAGTCGTGCTTCACATGCATTTTCAAGTCTGTCTCTCTTACTCTGCACTCTTTACCATTGTGTCCAGATGTTTAGCTGATTTGGAGTACATTATGAAGAAAAATAAGGTAAATGTAACGTTCACGGGATTTGATCTAGTTAGAACTGTAACAGTCAGATACTGTCTCTGCAATTCAGGTCAGGGGTCAGATGATATCACACAACTATTACGTCAGTAATGACGAGGAGCAGGGTGAAGTGAAAATTAGCAATATTCAGATTTAATTGGCTGGTGACAAATGGGTTAATACACCTAACGTGTCTCTTCAGATGCCGAACCACCATGGATCCAGTGCCCTGGGGACATTGTTACAGAGACAGATGAGCGGCGTGGTACTGCTAGTGTCAGTTGGAACGTCCCAAATGCCACTGACAACTCTAAAGAAGAGGTTAGATATTCAACAGTTGTCAGCTTTTCATTGTTTAAATGCTAATATTTTATTCTGTAAAATGACAGAAAACAGTATAAATTGTCCATCACACAGCCTAAGGTGATCTCTTTATAAAAAAAAACAGCAGCAAGTCCTCACATCTGAGAAGCTGGAACAAGAGAAGGTTGGGCAGTTTTACCTGATGAACGACTGATTATTTATGACAATAATTGTCATAAATGTTGGAGTTCAGTTTTCTAACGAGTAATTGACAGTTCACACAGATTGACTTGAAGATAAAGGACGTTCCAAATCACTCTCTGCTGTGTCTTACTCCTGCAGACGGTGGTGCAGGTGAAACCAGTCTACACTCCTCCCCAGCTGCTCCCCATCGGAAAGGAAACCATCACCTACGTTGCTACTGACCGCTCTGGGAACCAGGCCAACTGCTCCTTTACAGTCACTGTCATTGGTAAGCTCATCCGTCTGGGGACTGCATCGAAGTAAACAATGAACACTGCATATGACTCCAATGGCATATTTCAGTGATAGAGAGGGGAAGGTTTGTTTATGCTGTTGTCCAGCCATGTGCAGTTCCACTTGGCTTTTGTTGTAGGTCCTTTTTGGATAATTGTTTATATCTTTACTAGAGTTTGATTAGTCATGAAAATGAATGTGTAGCGATTTAAAGTGAATATTTTAATATCCCTCCTGTGGTTGTGTCCCCTGGTCACAGAACGAATGAACAGAGAGCAACACAAAGATTGTACTACAACATAAAAACCTGTGCCACTAGGATAAGTTACAGTAGAAGACAGTACAACGATATACAATTCTACAGTACACATAGTGGGTGGTTGTGGCTCAGTTTTCTCCCTGATCACTCTGGTTCAAGTACACATGGCTGAGCTGCTTTGTATATATACTGTATATGAGCTATGTTTTAGATCAGTGATTTGTCACTGCTGACAAATTCCATTTTAAGCATTTAAAACAAGCTGCATATAGGCCACGTGCCCCAGGGGATGATTTCTCTAGACCACTGTTTCTACCTTGTGGTCCAAATAAAAAGTGATTAAAGGAGAAAGGGCCAAAGTTCTTCAGCTGGTGCTGGACCAAGCAATAGAAATAAAGAAGGATGAGTGGAATTAACACATTGTTTTGCACCCATAAATATGTCAAACATAAAAACATCACGAGTTGTACATTTCACAAATAAATAATAGGACGTTGTGTGTTCTGTTTTGAAATCTATTGGCTTCAACTCAGGGCAGCCATGTCATTCAGTAGACTAGAGTACATCAGCCAAAGATAACAACGATTTGAAAGGAGGTCAGGATGATATTGTACTTAAAGCAGTTTTTAACAGTGAGACTGTTGATAACGAACCTTGCACAGAAAGAGTAAGAAGCAATGCATCACCATGCAGATGCTGCTGGCTTTTCCCAAAGAGAAAAATGTAATTTTTCCTTTGTGAGAATCCAACCAGTGGCCTCTCAGTTACAGGACAGCCTTTCTGCTCACCAGCAGCCTACCACCCAGTGTGTTTGTTGCTACATCCAGCCACCTCTGTGCTGCGGCTTATTTCTGTCATTCAGTGTGAAACTGTGTTTTAATTGACATACTCACCAGTTCGGGAGTCCGACTACCCCAGCAGGTGCCAAACTGTTTTACTGTAGAGGGTGGAAAACAAGGGTGTCCCGTGTCAGCTGCTCAATAATCACAGCAGTCAGGGGGAAAAACTTCAAGCATGGTAGCAGTGAACATTTCCATATGCTATTGGGGTGGAATGTTGTGTTTGTTTTTTTATTAATTAGAGACATGTGTTTAACTTGTGGCCTCACACTCTGTGCATTGAAAATGTCAAATCACACTGTAGCTCTGCTCCCGACTGTGCTTCTCTAATGTTGTTAAAGTGTATTCTGTTGGGTGCAGCTTTGTTTTGTGCATTAAAATGGGATGTTTTCTTTTGATCACGTTTGATTTCTCTTACCTCGGTGAGAGTTAAATAACTCTTATTGATATGTTTAGTTTTCACAAGTGCTTGTTCTGGTTATTAGTCCCTACAGTACCATTAACAACCATATATCACTTTCTAGATATGGAACCTCCAGTGATTGACAGATGCAGGTCACCGCCCACAGTCCAGGCCACAGACACAGAGACGGCAGTAGTTTGGGAGGTGCCGCAGTTTTCCGACAACTCAGGTATGTCTAGTCACCATTGATGATGGTTAAACAGGATCTTTTCCGTTGAAGGGATTAGGAAAGCTTTTGTGTGTGTGTGTGAGTAATGCTGAGAGACAGTGGACTTACAGTAGACTGAGTAGAGGATGGATTGTAGTGGTGTCCATGAATGCTTCATTTGTGTATCTGTGTTTAAGGGAGATGTAGAGAGAGTAGGTCTAGATGACAGATGATGTTATTATAGTGCCTGTTAATGTCATTAATGTAAAAAAAAAAGCAGAGTTAACTGAAAAGAGTGTTTTGCTCTCATTCTCTCCATTTTTCACTCAGTGATTTATACAATTACACAAGACACAGTACTTGACTCACATGGGGGTTTTTCAGTTACTTGTCAAATCATGTTTTGTTTTTCATTAATCAAAATGATTGCCATACACCAGGGGTTCGGTTGGGCAGTTTTACCTGATGAACGACTGATTATTTATGACAATAATTGTCATAAATGTTGGAGTTCAGAACCAGTGGTCCATGGCCCCCTGGTGGTTTGAAAAGGCATTCCAGGTGGTCCCTGACCATGCATTCAATAATGTACTGTAGGAATCTTTTTTTAATTGAAATATTTTCATGTATTAGTTATGGTTCATTAATAATCAAATTCATGCAAATATAACATTTAGAAAAGCAAAGGTGATTTCCAGAGTTAAAATAGTGCCAGTCCAGTTTATCTATCCCACTTCAGTGGCCCTTAGATTATTTCTTAGTTAGAGTGGTGGTCCCTGCCTCAGAATTAGTTGAAAACCCTTGACATACACAGTAGATATAGGCATTAATTGCTGCCTTGGTAAAGCTGGCATTCCTAAGCAAATATTGTTTCCCCATTCACAACTGAGCTAGTAGAGGTTCAGTCAGATAATCTGTAGGTTCAGCTTGACAGTGCTGGAGTATTAAGACTTAATTTTAAGTTCTCCACTTGAAAGTTTTACACACATTCAGAAGCAAATTATACTTGAGTAGTTAAGGTTTAAGAACTCATTAAGAATGACTCTTTTCAGTGTTTTGTAATTGTTCATTTGTTGGTACCTTAAGGTGTAAACAGTAGCATGTAGTGTTACCTAAAGGATCTATTATTAAAGTAAAACCTGATTCAGTGTTCGGAAGGGTCCTGACTATTGTTTTAAGACAGACTCCAAACATTGTGAACCTTTCCTCTAACAGAAAACAAAAAAGAAAGCAAAAAGTCTGAGTCTCTAACTTCTGAGTCTGAATGCAGTTAATGTTCGAGTCTGAATCCGAGTCATCAGTGCTCAAGTCCAAGTTGAGTCACGAGTCCTGAAAATCAGAATGGTTTTGTAGGTCTCGAGTCTTACAAAGCTGCCTGTTAGCCTGTCTCTTCAGTCTACAATTAATGTTTCTGGAAATTCTGATCGGTCTTGCTATGAAGGAGCGCATAAAGGCCGCTCTGCCAAATAGTATAAATATTGCAGAGCTGGCTGGCTTTCTCCTGGTGCCCTAGCCTGTACCCAAACAGCGGTCGTGGTGACAGCCAACAAACCAGACTTCTCCAAGCTTGCAGCCCACAGCCAGGCAGGCCCCTGTAATTCATTGGCTCTATATCGAGTACACACACACAAATATCACTGACATATCAGTTTGTGTCTTCACAAACACAGGCCTCAAACTCATGAGCATTCCCTACCTGTTTGCGAGGTGCACAGGAAGTCTCACATACACTTGTCTCACACACATCCACTGTAATAACAGGCTCCTGCAGCTGCTTAGGGGCCACACGACGTCAGCCCAGCAGTGCTTCAACGTCAGTGTTTTGTTTTTCCAGGCCCACACCCTGATGCCAGTGCTATATATAGTTGCAACTCAGTAGGCACACACATAAACACATGTACAAATGCACCCACAGGCTATATATGAAGGGAGACAGCCGACTCCAGCAGACCAGACATGTGTCAGCCCTGTTGGAACAGCGTCACTACCTTTAATGGTGATTTTGTAGTTTAACAAAAGGTCAATCACTCAATTATCCCACACTCTCTGTCTCTCATACTTAGTGCAGATGTTTTCACAGTATTTCTTTTCACAATCTGTGTGTCAGTGTGCAGGCAAGACCCATAACATCACACAAACACACACACACTTCACTCAACGGTGCCATTCCGAAGGCACCATCCTTCACTCTGTGCACATTGAGTTTTTTTTTAAGCCAACCAGACTGCGGCAGTTTTTCCCTCTTCAGTCCCCTGAGGTGTATTTTTCTGCTGCGATGTGATGCCCGGGCAAACCATCCCTATGTTAACATATCATTGCTTTACATGGCTTCTATGGCTTACTAAGAGTGACTAATTTAATCCTGGAAGCTGGATTAAGACTGAGACTGCCCTCTGCAGGATAACTAGAGGAACACTGCTGACTTCAGATAAAGATCGATTTCTTAGGAAATTATGTTCTTCTAAAAGCAAATATGAGCATAAACAATAATGTTCCCTTGCTGTTCTGCTTGACATCCATATAACATAATATCAGTGTCTAGTGTTACAATATTTACACTAAAATATTATATTTGTATACACCAAAATAAATTGTCATCATATAATATAAGTATGCTTGTGCAGCTTTGTTGTTTTACGGCCTTAGTACAGCATGTGTTAAATATGTGTATCTGTGCTGCCCGTGTATAAGGTGTCCCCTCTGTCTCTGCTCTGCTAGGAGGTCGCCTCACAGTAACCAGCAGCCATACTCCGGGCTCCCTGTTCCAGGTGGGAGAGACGCTGGTCCAGTACACAGCTACTGATGCTGCTGGAAACAGCCGCACTTGCAACCTCACCATCACTGTGCAAGGTACTGAAAGACACTTCATTTTTTAAACTGCATCAACAGAATCCTGTTGAATAAATGCAAAATGTGTTTAAATATTTGCTTTCTTACATATCATTTCCATACATGTCCCCCATTTACCTCAAGGTCGCGTTCTGTTTTTCTGCTTGTGGTTTTGTTTTCTCAATCATTTAAGTTTTATTGTTATTTTTTTTCAAGGATCAATAAAGAGGACTGTAGGAGGGACATAATACTTTAAAGACAAACAAAAGAGTATATGTTAAACAGTGTAGTCTAGCCTTGAGGCTAGACACCCCTCTGTTTAAACATTAAGCATGTCTGTATTGTTTATATTTATGAGTGAATGTGAGTAAGAGTTCACAGCATAGGCATGAGGTATTTGTAGTGTTTGCATGGTAGAATTTAGCTGCTGTGTAATAGTGATTTAACATGTTGTGCCCCAGTGTGACTGAAGCATGAAGTGTTATATGGTTGTTTTCCCAGGGACGACCTGTGAGCAGCCGTATGTTCCAGTGAATGGAGAGTTCATTTGCTTTGAGGAAGAAGAGGGTGTTAACTGTACTCTTCACTGTAAGGATGGCTTCAGCTTCACTCAGGATGCAGTGCACAGCTATTTCTGTGCATACAATGGTGTGTGGGAGCCGCCTTACTCTCCAGACAGACCCGACTGCTCAGGTAAGTGCGACGCAGGTATTAGCAACTTTTTTTTTATATTTAGATTGCTGCTGTCAACACAGCACAGTGGTTCACTGTGTGCACGTAGGTTTGTCTCTTTACAGCATCATTTATACCACACTCATCGCTAGGGGTTTAGACGGTTAAATGGTAAAACACATTCAAACATACATGTGCATGCTGTATACCTTGATATAAGTGCTGTGCTATATAAAACTATTTTTATCTTTCTCAGTGAACCGTTTAGCAAACAGCGGATTCAAGCCCTTTGAGATGTTGTTTAAAGCGTCTCGCTGTGATGATGTGGATCTGGTCAAGTCATTTACTGGGGAGTTCAACACCAAACTGGGAGGCATGGTGAGGCCCTGTATATACACACACATGATTTTTATTTATTTTTGTAAATCAACTGTCAAACACTTGTCACCTTTTTATCTTCTCCACAGCTTCCCAACATTTGCAGCAGTGACGGTGTCACCTGCAAACTGGAGGTGATGTCACAGGGTCAGTGCCTGGAGTACAACTACGACTACGACAATGGGTTTTCTATTGGTGAGATTTACATGCACATAAGCAACCAACTAAACGGCCCACCCTCATTTTGGTTGAAGCATCTTACCCACCTTGTCTAATATTTATCAGCACCAGGGGGTTGGGCCAATAGCTGGAGTCCTCAAGGAGCCCAGGACTATGCCTACTTTGAGTCAGGCTTTGCTACAGGCTCTCGACAACTCGCCAGCCGGCAGCAAGACAGCAGCATGCAACCACATCACCGCACAAAGAGGCACCGAAAAATCACAGGACCCACCAGAGACCAGAAAATCCAGATCTATTTCAACATCACAGGTAGAATAAGTGTGACTGTCTGTGTGTTTATGAACCAGGAATACCAGAAATATATGTACAGATATTATGTGCTAAATATTAATTTATCCTAGTGCATATTTGCTGCTACTCTGCTTTGCTTGACAGCCACAAGACTGTTGGATAGGACTGTTACACAGTGAGGATAGCACGGACATAAATGATAAACTCAGATAATGTGAATTTAATACAATAAAGAACCATATTTGTATTGAATCTAGCACAATATATCATTGCATATATGAATATATCAGTTGTTAGCCCTTTAACGTTGTCCATTCTCCCAGCAAGCATCCCTTTGCCTGTGTCGAGGAATGACTCAGTAGAGGTGGCCAATCAGAAAAGGCTCCTGCGGACTCTGGAGCAACTGACTAATCGTCTGAAGCGAACACTGGCCAAGCAGCCACTGTCCAGTTACCACTTGTCCTCAGAGATGATTGTGGCCGATCCCAAGTCTCTGGAGAGCAAGAGAGCCTCTCTGTTCTGCAGGCCAGGCTCAGTGCTCAAAGGCAGGATGTGTGGTGAGTAGCAACACCCAGCTAGACTCACTGAACCACCTTTTTTGTTTGTTTAATTGGGTTTACTTGGCTTAAGATCATATAAATACATACAAAATTATGGGAATTAAAGAAATCTAATGCTGCTACAGTATAAAAGTGTTATGTTTCCCCAATAAATGACTCATTCTGAGTGCTCTTACAGTCCAATGTCCGGTGGGAACATACTTCTCTCTGGAATATAATGAGTGTGAGAGCTGCTGGCTGGGCTCCTACCAGGACCAGGAGGGTCAGCTGGAGTGCAAGTCCTGTCCTGAAGGGACCTCAACAGCCTACCTGCACTCCCGCAGCATGGCTGAATGCAAAGGTAGGATGCATGACAAGTAAACAGTCAGAGCTCAGACTTGGCTTAGGAAGAACTGCATTTGCAGATAACTTAAGACAATATCCACAGCACTTTATTATAAAAAATTATACTAGTGTAATTGCCTACTACTGATTTCATCTTACTGTCTTGGATCACTGTCCTTCTCATTCTGTATTACCAACAGGTATTATATTAATAATCATTCACAAGCAGTCCTTAATTTTCATTTTATACATGTCCTCATTTAAATTATTACTAAATGCACTGTTTGTTAATAGTAGAACTTAAGTTATGTGTCTAGTCTTCCACATGATGAGCTGATCTGAACGTGCTTGCAGGGCAGTGTAAACCTGGTAGTCACTCTCTGAATGGGCTGGAGATCTGCGAGTCATGCCCGCTGGGTCACTTCCAGGCTGGTTTCGGTGCCAGGGAGTGTCTGGTCTGTCCTGATGAGACATCCACCGTCACCAGAGGAGCAGTGGATGAGCGGGAGTGTGGAGGTGATACAGTCTGAAAAGTCTTAGTTAGTATTCTAAACTAGGTAGCATAAAGGTGACTGTGGCACTTCACATGCTTCTTCATTCATGTCCTGTTTATGGTGCTCTTCTCCTCTGGTTCTCTCTGG